CGCTTGAGAGGGAACATGGGATTACGCCAAAAAAAATTTATTCTAGTTGCATGTGTTAGTGTGCTTATTCTAAATCTCCCTCTATTGCTGTGTTTCTCCTTTGAGTATTTCCTTACTTGAGGTCTATACCATAGTGATAGTACATGCTCCTAGAATTTTAGTACAACAAACATATATTTCTGCCATTCCTTTCTTATAACTGCTGAAGATTAATTTTTTTTTAATGTATGTTTTTGTTCTACTTATATATTTGTGTATACTTTCCTTCTTCTCCGACAGGTTTCTGCTGCTAAACTTTCCATGAGTTCAGAGGACGAGAGGGAGGAGGAAATTAGAAAAGCAGCTTTGTTTGCAGATATTTATCTCAGGGCTCATAAAGATACTCTAATTATGACTAGTCGAGAACTTATCACGGGAAAAAGTTAGCCTCTTTTATATAGCTTTACATATGATGCTGATATGGTTTGTTACATATTTCTAGCATACACTATTTTGGTATCTAACATATTGGAGGAATTTTTTTCTTGTTTGTTGCTGAGGTTGCCACTCATTCTTTGATTAGGTCCATTGGAGAGTTTAGAAATCAACGTCAAAGTAAGTGCTGCACTAGTAGAAATTGCTCAACGGATAACTACAAAACCTCGCTACATCCTCGCAAAGGTACCTAAATAACCAAGTTTTCATCCCTTTTCTCGTTTACCTTCATTCTGGATATGCCGGCTGTTATTATATGAGTGACTCTCTCCAAGCACCAAATAATGTGTGTGCTGCAGGTAAATAATTGGTTTTGCAGTTAAAGCTATTCGTGCATGAATGTTCATATCGGGCTTCTATTCTCGACCTGAAAATGTTCATCTATTTAATATAATGGGAAAGTTCTGATTTTCATTCCATTAACATCTTTGAATTGTAATAATGGTAACTATTGCCGATAAATATTTTTTTCGTACAATTGGAGCCTGACTCATTGATGCACACATTTACTGTGGAGCACTTCTTATTCTGATAAATGTAAACAAATTAAACACTGGGCTAAAGTACAAAAATTATCTTGCAGATCCAAAATTCCAAAGGAAAGAAATTTATATCCACTAATCTATGTGCTTAATCTAGGGTGGAATAACCTCATCAGACATTGCGACAAAGGCTCTTCAAGCCAAATGTGCTAGAATAGTTGGACAGGCCTTCTCTGGGGTTCCCTTGTGGCAACTAGGTCATGAGAGTAGACATCCCGGAGTTCCATACATTGTTTTCCCAGGTAAATTTAAATGGCTCACTTTTCAAAGTTATCTTCTTTTTTTTTTGGACTTTACAATTTGTAATTACTCTATTTTGACCTCTGACTATTTTGAACCATGTTTTACTTAGGTAACGTTGGCAACAGCGAAGCACTAGCAGACGTAGTCAGTTCTTGGGCTCTTCCTACCAGACTTTCCTCTTCAAAAGAGATTCTTCTTGTAAGGATCATTTGATTTAAATTTCGCCTGTATTTTTCCTCAATTACTGAAAATATCATTCTAAATGAAGAGTGCAGAACGAGGTGGTTATGCAGTGGGAGCATTCAATGTCTATAATTTGGAAGGAGTTCAGGCAGTTGTTGCTGCTGCTGAAGAACAACAAAGTCCTGCAATATTACAAGTAAGGTACCGTGTGGTCTAAAGAATAAAACATTCCACCCATAGCTGACTTGTGGGGATATCTTGCAAAATTTTATCAATTATTTTTGCTCATTGCTGGGTTACATGTGATCTGCCTTGAAAAACAGTAGATTGCAGTGATCCGTACGTGAAGATATCAATAACATTCTTTTATGATCCAGTCAGTTATTTTCTTTTTTATTTTGAAGAAAGATAGAGAAATAGTTTTTTGACCTTCAAAAGTTCTAAAAGATATGCTCAGATCAGCTTAACTTTCTTCTCTCTCCTGAGCTTCCCAATTCTTTTTCTGGCTCCATATAACATCAGAATATTAAATCCGTTTTTCTTTTTTAACAAAAAAAGGTCTCCTTGTGGTCTATTCCCTTTTGGATCATGTTGCTTTATCATAGGATTTTTTCAGATTACTCTCTTCTATTTGTTTTTTTTAATGACAAAAACCTTTAGTCTTTCCACAGATAATGTTAGTTCCTTTTTGTAAAACAGGATCAATAAAATCATGTTCCTTTTACTACTGTTAAAAAATCACAAATTCTTCAAATTTCCAGATCCATCCAGGTGCCTTGAAGCAAGGAGGGCTTTCTTTGGTTTCATGTTGTATTGCTGCTGCTGAACGAGCCAGTGTAAGTGACAATCCTTAACAAAAGGAGGGGGAAAATAGAATAGAGGATGTAGAATAGAAAAAACAGAACTTAAAACTTTGATTCTATATTTTCCATTTGATGATATTGGTGGTGGTCTTTTCGTGTTTCCTGGACGATGCGGTTTTCAGTTTTAAGTGTACATTGAATATTCCTGAATTAGTTACAGGTTTCTGCAGTGCGATTATCAAGTGTGGAAGAGTAACAGATGCAAAATTTAATTTTTAATTGTATGAGTTTACTTTAAAAAGCATCAAGAAGTAGATAAGCTTCATATGATATGTTTTGCTAGTATTTTTCATTCTGAAACAACAAATAAAAAGACAAGGGGAAGAGAAAATGGGGAAGGCATGGGACTCTAGTTTTTTAAAGCATCATAAATTTGGTTTTTTAAAAAGAATGTCCTCTAATTAATGCGTTAGATATTACCTTGGATGGAACGACCAAGAAAGTATTGTAGGACAATGTAGCTTCCATTCTCGTATTTTAAAACTTTCCAACCAGCTACCATCCAAATATCTGGACATGAGGCCGTATATAGGATGAGAGTTAATTTTGTATTATTTCCTTCTCATTGTACATTAATGAAAATATATTTCTCATCGTTGATATCTGTAGGTACCAATTACTGTTCACTTTGATCATGGAAATTCAATGCAAGATCTGTTGGAAGCTCTTGAATCGGTATGTTTTCTGGCTATTTAAATAAGTTTGCAGTCCTTACCATTTGATTTCGTGCCAAGCATTAATGTCAAAAAGTTTTGCTTTTCTTATTTGCATTAGGGATTTGATTCAGTCATGGCAGATGGTTCACATCTTCCATTTAAGGAAAATGTTGCCTACACAAAGTTCATATCTTCCTTGGCTCAATCAAAGAACATACTAGTGGAAGCTGAACTTGGAAGATTGTCGGGAACAGAAGATGACTTGACTGTTGAAGATTATGAAGCAAGGCTGACTGACGTTTCCCAGGTTACTTCTCTCTCTGTTATATTAGAAAGGTTTTCTTTACTTAGCATAGCAAGTTCATACCATTATCAAACAATTCAGGCTCAAGAGTTCATTGAGGAGACTGGTATAGATGCTCTAGCAGTGTGCATTGGTAATGTCCATGGCAAATATCCAGCAAGTGGCCCGAATCTCAGACTTGATCTGCTCAAGGTTTAGTATATTAATATTTATAATCAAGTCATTGTTAGTTTGTCGATGTGTGTTGTCTCCTGTCAATGCTATAATGTTAAAATAAGAATGTTTAGGTTACTTTGCTTCTTCATGAACACTAACTGAACTTTGGCACATTGAAAGATATCTCCCAGGTTTTGGGTGAACGGCAATTCCCCTACCTGCTTGGCTGAAGAATGAAGATGCAATTAGTGCCATACAGCCAAAGAATTATTGTTTACTTGGCTTTGCTTATTTGAATCTTGAGTCATTGGACTCTAAGCTAGGAAAATTTTGTATATGAGTTGTCTGATTCTGATCAATTCTTTAACAAGGACTTGCATGCTTTGAGCTCAAAAAACGGTGTCTTCCTTGTGCTGCACGGAGCTTCTGGTTTGCCTGAGAATCTTATAAAGGTGCGAGACTTCGTTCCTTTTCTTTCAAATAGAATAGTTTAAATAAGTATGACATACTCAGCTTCTTGATGTTTGCAATAAAAATCCCACTGATCTTTTGCAGGAGTAAAAAAATGGAACTAGTATGTAAAACATTATACTTGTTTCGCTTACCATGAACTCATGTCAAATTGAATTTCTTAAAAGAAATAAACCTAGGCTTGTCTCTCTCTGCCTCAACTTCTCGTCAGAATTGAGATTTTGAGGTGGTTAAATAAATCAATTTGAATTACATCTGCTTGCATGAACAGGCTTGCATTGAGAACGGAGTGAGAAAGTTCAACGTAAACACCGAGGTTCGGAAGGCATACTTGGAGTCCCTGAATAGCCCCAGCAAAGATTTAGTCCATGTGATGGAATCAGCCAAAGAATCCATGAAAGCTGTGATTGCAGAGAAGATGCATCTGTTTGGTTCTGCAGGAAAAGCAGTATGAGTTGCGGTATGGTGATCCTCCCTTCGATTTAAACTGAACATTCAAGTTACGTAATGTGTAGCATATAGTTAAATAGTTATCAACAACTTTCACTTAATTTTAAACTGATCATATTACCTTCTCTCTACAATAGTTCTTCAAATTCTTCTGCCATGCTATGAAAAATAAAAAGTAGCCTAAAGAGATCTTTAAATACAAACATTACAATATAAAACTCGTGAGAAATATATGAATACATATTATGATCCAAACAACAATCTTATGGAAATTCCACTCCTTGGAAAGACATTCCCTGAATGTGTAAATTTTGGATAACTTGGAGAGAACGAAATTACGGAACTTTCAATGATAAAGATCTTCCTTACAAGAGGATTTTTTAGTCAGATAGTCTTACTAGTCATTACTTGAGTGTAAATGCTCCCCCTTATTTCACCATTATAGCTACACTTCCCTTTTAACTAATTCCCTTTTAACTAATTAGAAGTACTTCATGTAATCTTTCTTTGGTCTTTTGTAATTTCTTTCACACAAAAAAAAAATGTGAATTTTGTCTAGAGCCTATAATGGCAAGAAATTATAAAATTCTCAATGTTCGATGAACAATGATGAAATATAAAATGTGAAGGAGTAGAAATAAATAGATGAGAAATCAACTTCAAATTGAAGTGATTCAAAATTGATGAATTAATTAAATGAATAGTACAAGTACAAATGTTGGTGATACAAGAAATGTGGTACAAATGTGATGGTACCAAATATATGGAGGTATAAATATTGTGGTGGTACAAACTTCTCATATGGGAGTTCACCCTACAAAACTTAACCCTATTTAATAACCAACATAAACTTAAAAAATATTTAAAAGCTAGAAACTTACCAGTTATAAACACTGAAATTTAAAAGATAAAAACAGGAAATTAAATTAAGAAAAAACCTCAAATCTCAACATAAGCTTTCTACTTGATAACTCAGACCCGTTGTCGTTGTTCCTTTACTATTTATTGCTCTTTTGGCCTCAATCTGAACAGCGAGGGTATTTTCTGATGCTTTTTCAGCCCTGACCTTGTGAATGTTTTCCATTAGCACACGTTTGTTTCTGTAGACGTTTCCCTTCACTCTAATGTACATTTGATGATAAATATGCTTATCTATCTTCTCGCATTCTCGGTATTTCCGCAGTAATCTTCTGAGGACCCTCATTCTTCTCATCCATAGTAGCTTTGTGGGTAACCTTGCCTCCTTTGTTCCTCTTCGTTTTCCGTACCCAGAATGTCGTCCTCTCGCTTTTGCTTCATGTGTTTGTCGAGATCGGGCTTTTGAGCGGATTTTCGTCAACCTCTTGATGATCAAGCCATCTTTTATGAGCTTCCTAATGCTCATTCCTGCAAGTAATAAGTGTTTTCTAGTTACAATGTGTTGTATTCATTTAAATACTATTTTGCCATTTTGAATTGTCAGTATCAGATGCAAAATTCTGTCATGAAACTAAAAAATAATTCATTGTTCAGTCATTTATTAAATCTGTATATGGTTAAATAAATTGTTGATGTTGGCTAAACCTTTGCATCTTTTTTCCTCTTTGACATGCATGAGCACTCATAAGCAAACTTCATGACTACCAAGTTAGACAGAGAAACCAAAAGATAATTCTAGAAAAGTTTGCTGTACATACTAGAATTGGCTAATGAGACAGTGGTGATCTCATTGGGATCGAGCCATACTCGACGTTTGCCGCAGGCAAGACTGCTGGCGGCGAGCCGCTTCTGTAGGGCCAGGGACACCATTGTTGATGATGCTTGTGGTGGCTGCTTCTTTGTGTGCTGAAGTGCTTCTTCTTGATGGGTAATAGAGAAGAACACTAGCAAATTTGAGGATCTCTACAAGAAGAAGAAGAAGAAGAAAGAGTGAAAGAAACTGATGGGCTCTGCTTTGTAGAAGATAAATTGATATGGCTGCCACAGGAAATGAAATTTGGAAGCTTTAATATAGGAGTAGAAAGCTAGTTGGTTGGTTATGTGATACTTGGGATGCAAGTATATTCTGTCTTCCTTATCTCTTCCCTATTCCAATTGTTTGGTTGACCATACAAACAAACTTTAAAATTTCAGTGTTCAATTCCTTGGGGCCAAAGCAAAGTTGTAGTTTATTTTTTTAGGGTCCATGGCAGAAATGGTATTATTGAAGTGTAAAATTAAAGTAGTAGACCTAATTACAAAATTATAAGAATAGTCGAATTAAATTTTGGTCTCAACCAATATGAGATGGTTAATACATCTTGCTCCATACAATTCAACATTCCCATATTTGTTGTACGAAAAAAAAATATTCTAATTAGTAATTTTAAAATAATCAATTTGATGGCTTAGATTTAACCATAGTTAAACCTAACTAAGAAAACATAACTTATCTAGAAAATTAACATTTGGATTTTTTTTTTCATCTTCCCCTTAAAAACTCACTCCTTTTTCTATGTAACTCATTTATTTTTACCAGAAAAAGTTATCTAATTTATCCATTATTCAGTTTAACTTCTACACATATTACATCATCAAACAATAAGACATTATTATTATTATTTTTCTAGAAATAATATAAGACATTATTTAAATATGTTATATACTTATTCTGATTTTTAGAAAATATCTAGTAAGTTCTAGCCCAATTTATGTCTAATAGATTCATATATTTTGGACCTCCTTAAAAGAAGTACTAAATTTTAAAATTTGAATTTAAAAGGTCTTGAAATATTTGAAATCCTAAACTTTTAATTTTATATTTAATAAATTATTAATTTAATCAACATTTTCAAAGTCACATTTCTTAAAATAAAATAAAATAAAATAAAGAAATCACTAATTTATTAAACATGAAATTGAAAGTAAAAAAAAATCCTCTTCTTCCTCAGTTCATTCGTGGGAGACTTATCCGCCATTGATGGCTTGCGCAACTGCAAGATTGAAGAACATCTCCCTTCAACCCTCGCTCTCGAAATCAGCAATCAATTTCAGAAATTCACCGATCTTTTCCCCAAATTCACTCTCTCCTCTCTTTTGCATAAATTCTAATATCAGATTTCTCTTCGAACTCCATTGACGCCTCCACAGGAAGATGAACCCTCAGTGTTATCAAGGACGTTAATTTGGTTATTAACTTACGGTTTTTTTGTTTCCATGTTGAAAGATTGAGAGATAATGAGATAATTTTTCAATGTCGCTTTGGGTTCCTTAAAATACCCAATAATTAGTCAAAACTGAAAAATTAACCGAACTAGGCATGATTCTAGGAGATAGTGACGTCATCATCTCAGCTGGAGATATAAATGTTCGATTCCTTCTCATCCATAGTTCCTCTCTCTGATCTCTCTCTCTGAAAGACATTCCAATGGCGGATCAGACCCAGAAGCCAGAGCTTTTCGAACTCAACAATGGAACCATGAAGGTCCTCCTCACCAATCTTGGATGCACCATCACTTCTCTCTCTGTTCCAGACAAAGAGGGTAAAGAACATTTTGTATTTGCGTGCTTCCTCTCGATCTTTTGGGATTTTTTTCCCTTTTTCTATGATGTTGCTGATCGTGGACTTTCTGGCGCTTCGAAGGAAAATTGGCTGATGTCGTCCTTGGATTTGATACTCTCGAGCCTTATCTGGTAAGATTTGTCACTTTTCCGGTGAATAATTTGAGTTTGATCGTACAATATCCGCGATTCAAATGCGTGATTTCAGATTTCTCCTCTCTTCTGCCGATGGATTTGTAGAGTTTAAATGGCATGCATTTTTCCGAAAATTGCGGTTAAAGGAATTGAACTGATTTTCCATTATGTTTGCGAATATGAAATTCCTGTGTTGGTTGGATTTCATTATGATGAACAGCAAGGTCTTGCTCCTTATTTTGGGTGCATTGTTGGTCGAGTCGCAAACAGAATCAAAGATGGGAAGTTTAAACTCAATGGACAAGAATACTCTCTGCCTATTAATAGACCACCAAATAGTCTCCATGGTAAGGAATTGGAAGTTTCTGTTCATTTTCTAATTGATCTTTCATATTGCAATATTTGGAGGCTTTGAATTGCAGAGAATTGTAAACAAAACCTTCCATTTTACTTCCATAATGACCTGAAGCTGTGTGAATTCATTGTTTGATCTTGAAATCTCACAACACTCATCGAATTTTTCGTTTCCCATTTATTGTCTCCATGTTTGATTTGAATGTATAAGATAAGGGTTCCCCCTCTTATCTACTTTGGTGGAGATCTTGGTTGGTGATCCTATGTTTGTTTATGGGCATGAAAAGTTTTTTACCTTTTATAAATTAGTAGCTAATTCGAGCATTTTCTTCAAACATTTTAATCGACATTTGGAGGCGATGTGTATATAGAGGAAAACTTTGGCCTTCTCAACATCCGCCCTCTGATACATCTTAGAAGTAGTTAAACTCTAATGCCCTATCTCTTGTTTTAGGTGGGCATAAAGGATTTGACAAGAAAGTATGGCAGGTGATTGAACACAAAAAGGGCGAGAATCCTTCGATCACCTTTAAGTATCATAGTGCTGATGGAGAGGAAGGTAATTGAATGTTCTTCACTCTTCTCCGTTCATGCTAACGATTCACTAGCGAATACTGGCAATTCTTCCCCTGGGCACAGGTTATCCAGGAGCTGTCTCAGTTTCTGCAACATACACACTCACTTCAAGCACAACAATGAGGCTTGATATGGAGGCAATTCCTGAAAACAAGGCGACTCTGATCAACTTAGCTCAGCACACATACTGGAACTTAGGTGGGCATAACTCCGGGGATGTTCTAAACCATTCAATTCAACTTTGGGCGAACCATGTTACTCCAGTTGATGAGAACACGGTCCCGACTGGAGAAATCAAGCCCGTTAAAGGCACCCCCTTTGATTTCACTAATGAAAAGAGGGTAGGTAGCTCTATTCATGAGGTTGGCATGGGATATGACCACAATTTTGTGCTCGACTGCGGGGATGAAAAATCTGGCTTGAAGCATGTTGCGAAAGTGAAGGAACCATCAAGCGCCAGGGTCCTGAACTTGTGGACCAACGCCCCCGGGGTGCAGTTTTACACAGGCAACTACGTCAACGGCATAGTTGGCAAAGGAGGGGCTGTTTACGGTAAGCACGCGGGGCTGTGTTTGGAGACACAAGGATTCCCTAACGCAGTGAACCAACCCAACTTCCCATCTGTTGTTGTTCAGCCAGGTGAGAAGTACCAGCACACCATGCTATTTGAGTTTTCAGTTGAATAGAGTGGTTTAGCTCCAAATGATAACAATGACAATAAGGTCAATTACCAGTTTTGTGTGGCAGAGAATAGTATTTCCTATATGCATTTACTACATATTTGATTTGGTTGTCCTTGTTTTATGATTGTAGAAGTTAACAAAGAGGATGAGTAGTTTCGTGACGTGACGAAACCTAATGAAATGTTCTCGCATCGTTTTGAAGCATCATATTTTTTTAGGACTGCAGATGTTATGAAATCCCTAGAGATCTCTCCTTTTAGGACCACCATTGTCAACATCCTCTTCAACTTTTTAGGCCTTGAGAATCTCTTGACCTTGTTGAAAATATTTGACATTCAAATTGCTGTTTAAACTAACCTTCTTGATGATACCATACCAATTACTTGAGCTCTAGTGTTTGGCATATGAGTATCTTAGGCCCAAACGTTTCCTGTTTCATTTTTTATTTTTTTAATAAATAAAAATAGAATCGTATTTAGTATTTATTTTCTGTTTCGAAGAAAAATAGAAACATGTTTAACAATAATTTATTATTTCTCATTCTTTAGAATTTTAAATTTAAAAAGTAAACATTTTATATAAATATTGTCTTTTAAAATCAAATATTTAAATTATTTATTATACATTTAATAAGTAAATGATGATAAAATAATATATTTTATTTATGGTATAGAAAACATTAAGAGTAGAAACAAGAAACTTCATTGTTTCTGAAATTTATTTACAATATTGAAAATAATTCTTAAAAACGTGGAACAAAAATAGTTACCAAATGCTTAGCTAAAAAATTAGCAATCGATCTGGGGGAGAGAAATTAGAACATGCAGAAAAGATAAAGTCCATCACATCAATAGATAAGACCATTTCTAGACTCTAGTCGACATGCCAATACTCATTACACTAAATTATCCTTGGAATGGAACAAAGAAATAGATAATCAAAATTCAAAATGCTAATAGCTAAAATAAATATCGCCAGAAAATCATACAATTAATCTAATAATAACTCAATTACCAAACATCTCCAAAATTTGAATCAATTTGTTGGTCTTGGACTTCACCTCTCCCTGGGTGACTCCCACAGTTGATCCTCATACTCGGAACTTATTTCTTGTTTGGGGCGCTCACCATTGCACTTGCGGCAGCTCATGTTTCGTCTGTAATTCAAGAAGTCACATCTGGAGATAGAGAAGGCAGATGTTTTGGCATCAGTGCTTCTGTAAATTGGCAGAACACAACATATGGTTGTGACTTGTGAGTGAGTGTGAGAGAGACTACTTACGAGGGGCATTCCCATTCTCCTGGATTCAGGTCCCTCTTTGGACGATGTTCTCGGCATCGCAGACATTTCTTGTTGCTGGCGAAGTTCATGAATGCACATCTGTCGGGTAGATAAAGCAGAAGAGAAGAGCACGGTCAAACAGGATACAATTTGAACAGAAAACTGGATCAGATTAACATGAAAGATGCACAATCAGAATTGAGATGCAAGTCCATCGGGAATATGGATGGTTATCCACGATAGGAGGGGTGAAATTAACAAGCAGAAAACTGGTCAAATCAATTGAAACCGACCAAACTGACATTGGTTGGTTGGATGTTGATTAGTTGGAGAGTTCAAAGTACTCCGATGTGACTGACCAACCATATAAGATAATATCATGTTTATATAGTGAACAATGTAAATTTGCTTAGTAAGGTAAAATGACGTCTTTTTGATTAAAAATTAGAGGGAAATTTCGACAAGGTTCTGCTTATTGTCAAAGTACTTGTTGCACAGTGAATACTTTTTACCCATAAACTGTCTATGTCAAAGCCAACCGACCAACCAAATCATCTCTAAAAGTTAAAATTTCAATTTTTATCTCACCTCTGACCGATCAGTTCGTCAACAAAAATCAGAGTAGGTCAAGAATCAGCATCGGTTTTACCTTCATCTTGATTGACCCTGACTAACTTTCTCCCCTTAAGTACTAGAATTGGTATCAAATCCAACGTCTCAACGCAATTATTAAATAATTGAGCAATCAAGTCATCCAAACAACCGTGAAATAAAACAGTCCCCTATTTTGTGAAAGCCCGCAACTGCAGACACCAACCGTACTAGAAAACTGAATCATTATTGAAGTGACCAATATAGAGCATAAGTATTGAACTTACTGCGGGCAGATCCAATCTCCCTTCTTCATTTCAATTTCGTCATCATTCATCCTCTTCGGCCCCTCTGCTTTGCACTTTAAGCAGCGTATATTTCTTGAGAAGTTCATAAAGTTACACCTATTACAGAAACCAATACAATATTTAAGAGCATAATCATGGATGTATGTAATGGTCTTGGAAGCAGCATTGTAAAATCAATATTGAACTGCCTATTTTCAGAAAGTTGAGCTAAAATCTTCTGATATTCCTCATGACCATATTGGAAGAGCAGAAGCTATACAAAAACACTTCCAATAGTAGTTTTAGGTGAAACAAATTGGAAATTGTCCAATCAAACAATATTTCCAATATGTACACAGGCCTACAGGCTGCAGCTACAGGACATCATTTGTACGAGAATATTTTATATTTATCGTTGCCTTAAACTCGTAAGAATATCCCCAAGTTTAATAAGGCCAGTAGAGAAGTACAAATACTTGAAAACCGTTGAATTGTTTTTGTGAGCAAGATTGAATCATTGAGCGGGTTCTTACTCTGGACAGGTCCAATCTCCACTCTTCATTTCAATCTCATCAGCCCGAACCCTTTTAGGACCATCTTCATTACATTCTAAACACCTCCTGTTTCTCGAAAAATTCAAAAAATTGCACCTGTAACCAAAAAATCAAAAGTTAAGGCCCCATTTCATAACCATTTTTTTCTTTTCTGTTTTTGAAAATTAAATTAAATTTTGTCATTCTTTTTCCTTTGTTTTCTGCAGTGTATTAGGAGGAGGGACTTACTTTTCCCTTCCTCGGCTCCTAATTCGGAGCACAGCCCCAATTTCTTCTTTAACATAATTTTCTGTTTCTCACTTGAAAGTTTTTCATGTATAGTATAGCTTCTTTTTTGTTTTTCACAACAAAAGAAATATAGAAATTCGAGCTAATAAAAAAGAAAATCGAAAAATAAATGAAGTTAAGACTTCAGATCTTACTTACTTTGTACACATCCAATCTCCTCTCTTCATCTCTACATCTTTTGATAAGGCATCATTCGTAAATTTTGATGTTTTTTCTTTTCTTGAGGGAGATTTAGTATCAGCCTTCTCTATTGCTGAATCAAGGGGTTTTTCGCTCAGTTCGGATAGCTTGGAAAGCAATTTCCTCACGGATACTTCGACATGCTCTCTACCCAAAGGTTTGTCCCCTCCAGACAAAACAAGTGGATCCAGTGCATAGGTCAACAACATTCGAGCTATATCCACAGTTCTTGCAGTTGCTTCTGGTTCCTTTAAAATAACATAAGCTCTATCACAGGAACCTCGAAGGTTGCAAGTACTACAAACCTGTACGATGTAGATAATTGAAATGAAACACAAGCTTATAACATATGCATGAATTTAATCAGTTCCCCACTCAAAATAGAAAACGTTAATATAAGTCAACCGAGCCCATAGTGCAAAGAAATCTATCTTATGGCAAAATAATTACGATCTTTAAGTGAGACTACATACGTCCCCTTCATCTAGTTGCACATAAGCCCTCAACCTTTTAGCTGAATTAACAACTTTCCTGAAGAGATTGGGACATCCACCTTTCACAACCGTTTGAATATCATCTGTGGACAACGACCTGCACAAAAATTAATCACATGCCAAATATTATGAATAATAATCATACAATCAGTAGGAGTTTAATTTGCGAAAAAAACAGAAGATCCACTTCCATTGATAAATTTGGACAATTAAACTGGATCTAAGCACTAGCCTTCAGGTATGCAGTTTAGCGACTATAGTTGCAGTAATTAAATCCATTACACGTCAACCTAGAACCTGAAGAGAGACAACGGACCTTCCTTTTTCATAGCTAGTGTGTGGAAGCCTCACGCCTCACATTATGCTCATAGGCCCATCCTACTAATTTCCGGAATTCTTTACTAACTCATGTTCGCTCCCAAAGATGATAATAGTTTTAAGTAATTAAGTTACAGGGAGAATCTCAAATGTTCCACTCCTGCAGATATAAGTTTTAAGTTGTTAAATGTTCAAGTTTTAGTCCATGTACTTTCATCTTTGCAATTTGCAAACACGTCTATTTTAGTTCCTATATTTCAAACTTTTGACATTGTAGTTCCTATATTTTGTAATTCTAAAAAGTGATCATTTTGGTCCCCTAGTTTTCCCATCACAGTTTCAGCAAAACACTAATTTCTTCAACTATAGCTATAAATTTGTATTCAAGAACAATTTTTGTTGTGTATGGAATTTATGTTACCGCACCAAATTGGTACATGGACCAAACCAATTTTCAATCTAGGTTGAACCAAAGCGCATAGGGCATGTGCAATATCCAAGTACTTGTCCCAAATGTAATACCTTAGCGTATGAGCCATCCACTCTCAAAAGATGCAACCATCACCATGCCAGAATCAAGTCCGATTTCCAGTCAACAAAACCCAAAAACACAAAACTGTAAATACAAAAACTCACTTGAAAACATCGTAGCGATCCCGCGCGAAGCTGAGGCAAGCATCCTTCAACACGTTCATGTCACTGTAAACATTCTCGGATGCCGTAGCTCCATCACCGCCGCCTCCACCTCCGTCTGCGTCTTCTGAAGGAGAAGACTCGGTCAAGTAACCTTTGGTTTTCAGCCCGTCGACGAAGGAAACCCATTCAGGCCACGGGTGGTGAGTGAGGGTGGAGAGTTGTTGAGGAGCATCAGCGCCGCCGCTGGTGGCGGAATCAGGCGCGGTAGAAGAACTGCAATTGACGAAGCGTAGGAGCTTTGGCGGGAACCTTCTGGGGAGGAGGAGCGGCGATAGGGCTCTGGATGTTGTCCGTGAAATCGCAGTGCCGAAGTATAAGAATTTTGGGGCTGACATAACTCCTTCCTTCGGTGGATTTCAGAAGGAATGGAGAAGGGTTTTTGCCATAGCCATAAGGCCTACTGCGAGAGGGTTTTAGTTTTTAGGATCTTTTCCTTGGGAAAAAGATTCAATTTTTACGTCAATTTTCACGATCCTATTCGACTTTAACAAAAATGATTGATTATCAAAATTTGAAAATCTAAAAAAGAAAAATCACTAATTACAATTCAAATCGAACTTTCAGAAAAGGGGGAAAAAGAGTTCAAAATCAATCACAAATAATTTTGCCAAAAACTTACAATTTTTTAAATATTCTGACTCCGATGTCATGTTTCTTTCAAGTTCCAACACTTTTTTACAATCCATTTAACACATAGAAAATAAATTATTTTGTATCTTCCAACGATTATTCGATTATCTATGTTCAGGTATAAACTATAACATTTATTAGAGTATAAGAAAACAAACAAATTTTAAGCTTTAAAGTAAATATTGTAATACTTAGTCAATTTTGAGATATAGTCATATGAAAATAAAAAAAATTGATACATCTAACCAAGTTGGTTCATATACATTTTACATCAGGTATGGGCTTCACCTCAATTTTAATTATCTTATTATTAGTTTTTACTTTAAACTTTATACTCCACTCGAATATATCGAAAATATATATGTTCTAACCACGTGTGCTAATGAACACTAATGTTATTGTTCATGTTGGAAATGTTGTGATAGGAGCAATAATTTGTGGATTCCAAATGCACAATAATAACATTTCAAGACGAAAAATTCATCAATTGACTGCATTAAAAAAATTGGCATAAGTTATTACTGAGGTATGATGGCCGCATTAGAAGTAGGTCCCTGACATTTGATGGTAAAAATTAAACTCTAATGTAATTTGACAATTGGTATACAAATAAGATGTTTTAAAAAAACGAAGGCAACTAGATGGAAGTATGATGCAATAAAAGAACATCAATTAAATTACTACATCCAAAAAAAACTAAAAAATAATGCATCACTATTATATGTTACGTAAAATCTAAAAAGAAAAAGAAAAAAGAAATTATTATATGTTAAGTAACATAAAATCTAAAAAAATATAAAAAAGTAGAAATTAATCTGGTCGTAAAAAGATGGTGCCACCGGCGGTAAGTCTCTCGTGAGCTTTTGACGGAGTCAAGTTTCATTGGCACTGGCGAGAAGAACCCCACGTAAACCCCTAAACCCACTCTCAAATCTCAATCTATCTTCTTCTTCATCTTCCTCAAAGATCTGCTTCTGCTTCCCGATTCCCTCATTTTTCCCGCCCCAGAAGATGAGAAGATCTTCCTCCATCGCTTCATCCTTCCTCTCCCGCTCAATCTGCACCGCTCATGGCAGCCTTTCCGCCACCGCCACCTCAAATCA